AGTGCATAGATGTGGATGTATAGTCATTCTACTACTAAGGAAGAGGCATTCAAGTAGTAAACTATAAAACGCACATCACACTGGTTCTATTTAAAATTAATCTTTGCACTGAAAAACTGGAACTAATTTATAAAAAAAGCCATAAAAGTAAGACATTTAATTAGAAACACTTTTAATTGCTTTTATGAATAAAATATATTAAGAACACTATTGTCTTTTTTTTTTTTTTTTTTTTTTTTGACGAATATTGAATTTTTACAATAATTGTTTTTAATTTTAATTAGAGTAATTTACTGAGTTTTAAATCTTTTAAAATTCTGTATTAATTTCACCCTTATAGGTGATGTTATTATTATTATTAAATAAAAACTATATTTACTACTCATAAATGGAAAAGCTTAGTACAAATCATCAAACACCAATATTTTTATTTTAAAAGTATTTTGAATTTTTTTGTATGTGTAAACATTGCCAATTTTTGTAGATAGGGCATGGCACAACATCAGAAAATAAGAGGAGATAACTTTCGTAAATTTAAAGCCAGAAAATATCTAAAGTTTAATAAAACATTAGATTACAGAGAATATTTTCTTTAATTTTTAAGATTACTGAGTACTTAAAAGGTGCTCACATATTCTTTAATTAATTATTTACAAGTAGAGCTGCTGTAGAACATTAGATAAAAATCTGTCATCAAGCTGTTAAAAAGTTGTCAACATAAACTACTGCTGTGTCAAAAAAAATTCATTTTTGTGATATCTTAAAGTAAATATTTGTTTCAAATCAGATTAATTATCATTGATCATTTATTTTAAATCAGTTAATATTCCTCAAAGTTTCAGAAAAGTATATTTTATTTTTGGAAGATTTTTTTAATAAAGAGAATTATATTGTGATGAAAGATAGTTAAAAATGGTGCTAAAATCAGCAATGGTTAGCAAGGTCAAAATGAAAACTTCTTCCAGTCAATATAAATTAGTTTTGAAATACCGCAAATCATTTTACTTATTGGAAAAATTAAATTTTAATCTATTAGCTTGATATTAAAACTAAGATAAATGCTTTGAGAAAAAAATTTTTTATTTTTTAAAAATTCATTTTAAACTTTAGGTATGGCAAGGTACCTAGTTTAGTGAAAGACTAAAAGAACTTTTTTTTTATTACAACAGAGATGCTGATGGGCGCACATTCTGCATCCCTGATGTATAATCCTAAAAGACGCAGTAACTTTCCCAGAAAGTTTTCCACTTTTGGAAATTCTTGCAAAAACCAAATAATTGTCAGGACTGTCTATATTTCTGAGATGAGGTATTATGTACACTATTTACATTATACAATAGTCTGAATAATGTAAATAGTGAACTTCCAGGACTTATTCACAAATTAATTAAATTATTTTAGAAATGTTTCTTTTTTTTTAGAAAATCTTGGTAAAAACATAGTTTTTTTTGGTTTTTTTCTTTGTTTTTACCATCTGTTACACCCCTACACACACTGAACTGTGATTAAATGTAAATACTGTTTTTTATTTTCAATTTAATTAAAAGAAAACAAAGTTCTGTCAATTTAAGTGATTCAACCTGATTAGAATTGTTTTTTGGGATGATGATAAAATAAAAAAAATTTAGTCTGTAACCCTGCAGTTTAAACCCACAATTTATTAAGAAACTTTAGTTGGGGCCCATTGAATTTCACAATTTCCTAGGGACCCATCCAAATCACCAACTGTGGGCCCCAGGGACACACTACATTTTAAAACTATCAACATCACTGTCACCATATAGGCAAGAAAAATATGTATGCGCTTTGGTGCTGGAAGGAAGCAATTTTTTTTTTTCCTAAAAATATATTTTCTATTTTCCATATTTCTTTATTGATAACCTACCAAGCACAAATGGAATTCGTTTTTTTTTTTTATAAATGTGTATGATTATATGATATATGCTACCAAGTTCATATCATTCTCTGGGATCATGGGTATTGTACCAGCTTAATAAAATCAGAATGGTAAGAACAATCCTGCTGTAAGGAGGAGCTGTAAATTTACAATCCTAAGCTGGTAATAGATTAGAACAATATTCTCTCAAAGGTTTCTGCCAAATGCAACACTGACCTGAGGAATATCAAAAAATAAACTAAATGTTGTCATAAAAACAATGAAGATGAGGATGCTAGTACCTCTCCCTCATAAAAAAAAAAAATAAAACCCTATTCTCTGACCATTTTTTAAAATCATAAATTGTTTAAATTTCTTATTGTTTTCATTAAGACTGTCTATAAACTAACACTCATGGAGATATTGAAATAAGTCTGGTCTCATTTACATATGAGTGCATAGATGTGGATGTATAGTCATTCTACTACTAAGGAAGAGGCATTAAAGTAGTAAACTATAAATCGCACATCACACTGATTCTATTTAAAATTAATCTTTGCACTGAAAAACTGGAACTAAATTATCTGTCAGTCTCATCAGAAAAAAAAATGAGTGACGTTATTCAAATTTGGCCATTTTAAACCTGCTTTTTACTTATCTTTTCCACTGATGTGTGTCAGCCAAGAATAGAATAATGGACATTCCCCAGAGAATAAATAGCATTGCTAGAAAGCAGGTATTAAGTACAATGTCTGGCAGAAGATAAAATGACTACAAAGTGTGAATGTCAAAGAAGGAGACCATTAATTAACATCATTTGGCACTGAACATGTTAATTTCATACTTACCAGATTTGGGTAACTTAAAGACTATCTTTATTTCTGCTTTTTTTTTTTTCCAACTGAGCCCTATGGCGAATCTCTAACCTGTGGGTCATGAACTGACCCACCATGAACTTTTTAGTGACCCATGAGTCTGTGAAATGACGTCATGAAATATGGCTAGGTCAATCAAATTTAGCGATTTGAGTTTTGTTTGTGTTTTGTGTATACCTAAACACAACTAGATGATACTCAGCCAGCTTTATAACGCTTTGTACAGTTGTGTAGAAGCTTTTGTCTCTCTTTGCATTTTATCAGTTGTAGTATTAGATAATTTAAAATTTGATTATTTTGAATTAATTTGTGAGAGTTCATTTTAGACTAAAAATAAATCCAAAAGACAGGTCACAAAGAAAAGGAAAATAATCTCAGAATTTTTACTCAATGACAGATAAAGAAACAAATGAAATTATTCAGAAGTAAAGCAACAAGAATAACAACATAATCATTTCAAAAGAATGTTTAAACCAAAAACGAGAACAATATTCCTGCAGCCAGTTTTCAGTTATCCTCTATTATTGCTAAGCCACTCTCTGATGGTGGCTGTTTAAATGAGGCCTTTTTGAACTGCTCAGAATTTTTGTTTGAAGACTTTCAGAATAAAGATGACATTCTCAAAAGAATTAATGAGTTGCCAGTCACTAGAAATACAGTCAAAGAGACAATGGGCAAAGATGTAACTGGTCAACTGGTACAAGATTTGAAAAAGGCAGATATGTTTTCAATTTATTTGGAGGAAAATACAGACGTTCCGTCAATTGTTTGTTTAGCAGTTGTTGCAAGATTTCCTTGTGAAAATATAATGAAGAAAGAACTGATCAAATTGATCACACTTTCAGAAAAAAACTAGAGAGCAAGATATTATCAATTGATTGAAGAAGGTAATTATTGGCATTAAGCTTGAAAATATTGTATTTGGGATAATAGATGGCACTCCAAGCATGATTGGAAAATGCTGGATTTGTGCAATTACTGAAACAAGAAGTAAACCGTAATTTATTTGAATTTCATTGCATTTTGCATCAAGAATCTCTGTGTGGTAAAACTAGTTTGAAATTACAAGAAAATGTCATGTCCCTTGTAGCAAAAATTGTGAATTTTATAGTTGCTCATGCACTTAACAAGCATCAATTTTCTAAACTATTGAATGAAGTTAACAATCAATTTCATGGGTTATTCATGTACAACAATGTCAGATGGTTAAGCTGTGGCCAAGTGTTAAGTCAATTTGCAGATTTGCTAGAAGAAATAAAACTTTTCTTAAGTGAAAAAGGAAATGACTATCCAGAACTGACTAATATTAAATGGTTGAATGACTTAAATATTTTTGCAGATTTCACACTTCATTACAATAACTAGAATAAAAAATTGCAAGGTAATGGAAGTATTGTTGATGTTTAATGCTTTTGAAAGAAAACTAGAAATATTTTTAAAAAATCTAGAAGAAAACGAGCTGAAATATTTTCCATTATTAAAGAAGCACTTAAGATCAACATTTTTCAATCGACAGTGCAGAAGACTCAAAAAGTATTTGTCCATAGTAAAGAATGCTACTTTCAGAGAGATTTTCCTCAATTCCAAGAATTAGAAATTACCTTATGATTCATCTAGTCCCCACCCCATACTACTTAATTTCATGATCTTAAGCTATCCATGTTTGATTGGTTCAATCTAAATAACTTGGTAACAGAATTAATAGACTTCCAAGAAAATGTAGTGTGGAAGACAAAATTTATCAGCCTTAACCTGAAATTAAAAGAAAATAATCTCTTAAAAGCGAGAGCTGACAGCCTCATTCTTTGAGAATGGCAGTCCTTGCCAAACTCTTTTGCATCAATGAAAAATTTTGTCCCCACACACACACACACACAGAGGAATTGCCTTGGTATGGATAAGAGTGTTAAGCTGAAGACAATAAAGTATGAACCTCGAATTAAAACATTAGCAACTAGGATATAGCAATGAGTTCTTCAGTAAAAAAAAAAATATCGGTAAGTATATGAGTAACCCATTTATGTCTATGAAAAATTTAAAAGTACCAAAAATGACTCTGCTACTATAATGGTTTGCCATTTCTATCCTAGTAACTTGTACCAAAGTTCTTATCCTAACTTTATAATTTCATTTTCAGCAATTTTCTCTCCAATTATGCTATTTTTATTTAAGAGTCACACTTCTAATTTATTTTTACACTTTGTTTTCATTTTAAGAAAATATTAATACATTTTTTTTCTTTTTTGTAGTATGTGAAAAATCCCGGGAAAGTATTGGGAATTGTCCAAACTTATATCCGGCGTCTCCAGAACTTCCCACCATCTCTCCATGTGGTTTACCTTTGTGAAACACTGGAAGATAGTGAAAATGAAATTGAAAACATAGAGGTAACCTTCGTTATTTTTTTCTCTTTCATTTTTGTAATTAACAGGTGAAAAGTATGAAGAATGATTCCAATGTTATACACACACACAAATTCCCAGTGAACAGTGACCGACCACAACTAAAAGTTTCATGCAATCATCAGGTGATTGGCAAGTTTAAGATGTTACAAAGGTAGTTGATGTGTACATAATATGCACACACCAACCAAATTCACCAAAGTGAGGAAATGCTCATTTGGCCAAGATAAAAATGCTGTAAAATCATCATTATAAGAAAAATTTCACAGGTATACCGAGAAAGTGCTTGATATCCTGGGGAAACTGCAGGATCTCTGCAAAGGGGCATACTGCTAAAAGCAGAACAGGTCTCAATAATACTGCGCCTTCAAAATCCCCCATAAAATAGCATTTGTCCATGCTTAGAATTTTGATGCCACATATGGTTTGGTGCTCCCACTATATATTTAGAGATCCTTGATAAATTCTAAAGAAGAATTGGCAATATTATTGTCCCTGACCTGGTGTCTCAGCTTCAGTCACTTTTCCACCACTGTAAAGTTGCCACCTTGTGCCTTTTCTATAAATACTCTCATAGTAACTATTCAGATAGCTCTTCACCAGGGTACCTAGACATTTAAGCACAGTTCTAGACTGGCAAGAAGGTTTCACCGATTTACAGTTGAGCTTCGTTAGATGTAATCATAAGTTCTATGCTAACAGTTACTTTTCCTGCACTTCTCGCTTGTGGAACTCTCTTCTGGCTCCATACTTTCTAGTCAACTTTAATCTGCAAAAATGTTAATATAATGTTAATTGTTATCTACTCTTCTCCTGATTACTCTTCTTGCTCCTTAGTAAAGTTTCTAATTTCTAATTCTTTCACATCCAGTAACCCCTTATGTCTTAGTGGCTTTACTTCCTTGCTTTGGGTGAAACTGATTTAAAAACAATTTTTAAATAAAATAAAAAATAAATAATCAGAGCCTTATTGTTAAGGTTCTGTTAGTTAATGACATCGAGCATTTTTTCTCTGGTGTGCCTCTGTAGTAAACTTCCTTAGTATAGAGTAACCAAAAATGTCCTTGCTGTTGTTTTTAAATCATGTGGGAACAAGTGATCACTAATATGCAAATGAGAGCATCACGTTCCAAGAAATTGGTGGTGTTTTAGGTTTGAAGCATTGTTCTTGACCAATGCAGATGTGTTGTGCACATACATCAGTCATAGCTCAAGCAGAGGCAAGAAACTTTGTGATGTGAAAACAGCTAATTTGGCATTATCTTCTTTATGACTTTAAGGTGCTTGGCTTGTCTACAACCCCACCAAGTTGTCAAATATGTCAATCCTTTGGGGATAATGCTGTGAGTGAATGCACCACCAGGCACTGGTTCTAGCTAGAAGTTCAGGTCAGATCTATCCCTTTGTGATCAACCCTGCAGTGGCCAGCTGCAGGACTTGGATGATGAGGCTAAAGGCAGCCATGAGGACAACAGCCAAACTTGTGGTGAATTTGTCAAATGCTTCCATATTCCTGATGAAACAGTCAGACTTCACCTGCATTGCATAGGGAAGGCATACAAGTTGAGCAAGTGTGTAACCCCCACACTGTCAGAAACAAACAATCTATGTATGACAGTCTGTTTCTTGCTGCTTTCTCTGATTTTTACTGTCAGGGCATTGCGCAGCTGGAGGCACATTGGCAAAAGGTTGTGGATGCTGATGGGGATTATTTTGAGGACTAATGGTATGTCAAGTTTGCTGTATGCCTTTTTTCCTAATAAATAAAAAACTGCAAGTGCTTTCAGTTACCTTGTAGTTGCTTATTATAATATATATATATATATATATATATATATATATCTTCTTTTCTTTTTTTTCAATCTCTTCAAGATGAAATGAAAAAAAATACTATCACTGTCCCATAATAATTGTTACATTTGTGTAAATGTAACAACTATTATAGGACTGAGGATGTCAGGTGTAATAAATAATGGCTATGAATAAAAAATCGGAAAGTTGGCTTCATCATATACACTTACCACAAACACCCTTGAGTCATTCCATGTCAAATCAACAAGGGTCTGACCATCACCAAAGATTTTTTCAAATTTGGTACACTTATAGAGCTTTATGATAGAAATTTAATGTTACCTATTTTACATGTCTAGATCAAAAGGTTCACTTGCTAAAATGCTGAACATTGGAAAATAGTCACAAAGTTTAAATATTAGTATCACAGTTGTTTTTTCACCCACAAAGCTAAATTATATACCTTTTTAAAATACTTGGATGTGATCTACTTATTTTATTGTTTAAAAGGTCAAATAATATTTGACCTAGGCTTTAACCTTTGGACTTTAATTTCTCAAAAAGTGTATGATTATTTTTTTTTTTTTTTTTTTTTTAAATTTGACAACAAATTTTTCTGCTTTATGGCAAGATGTGTACAAAATTTTGTGGTGGATTTTTGACTGTGGCCTGAGTTACAAGGGTTTTGCTGGGTTGGGCTAAATTCAAAATGGTGGATTTTGGTATTTGCCACAATATGCTAACATTTTTATATCTCCCAATATGGTCAAGTTAGATATCTTTAGAAAGCTCTTTGAATACTGGTTAATATTCATATAAGAACTATATAATAAAATCAACAGAATTTGTGTTATTTGTGGTTAAATGTTGATCCATTTGGTGGTAAATAAACAACCTTATTTTTGATTTTGTTTACATTTTTATTATACAACAAATTGACATAATGAAAATAATTATTTAAAAAGTATCATGAATTAATGTGAAGATAACATATGAAAATATGCAACAAATGATGATAATGGTTAACAAATTTTTGTTGATATTTGATACAATACACTAAATGCAGAAAACAATCAAATTTTTCAGCATTTTTATACATATATATATATATATATATATGTATATATGTATATATATATATATATTTAAAAAAAACTAAGATTTGATCTAAAAAAAAAAAAAGTGGTACATTAAAATAAATATTTTAAAAAAGATTCCTAACATTTAAAGAGATTAACATGCAAACCTTTTTTTTTGTTGTTGGAATATATGTTTAAATAGAAAACAAAAATTTGGATATGCAAACTACTTACTTTTTTCACTAAAATTTTTTGTAATGACCAACCTTGATTGTATCTTTATTTAAGGTTATTTCAAGAAATTCTCTTAAAATATTTGAAGCTTTTTTCATCTCAATTTTCAAAAGTTTATAAGTTCTTCCAGTGTCAGTTATTGGATCAACTAAACTAAGAATATCAGAATAATTTTAGATTAATATATCTGGATGTAATGGATGACAGAAAGATGAAGAAGGACTCTTAGGTTGTAAAAATGTGCATTTTTACCTTTTCATTATCAGGATATTTTTCAAGCACACATCCTAGCCACCAATTCTTATCATAGATTGATGTAACAAATCCCTTAATGCTTTCATGCACTATATTGTCTCGTTTTATACAATTTAACTATTTTTCTTTCATCCCGAGTTGACACTGTTTCTACTTCTACCTCTTCCTAAGACATAGGAATAAAACTGTAGTTTTTGAGTTCCTGTAATTGCTGAGGCATTTGTAATTTATCTTCTAAGATTTCTGCTTCATTTGTCCATTCATTTGTTGAGGAATACAAAATATGCCTGAAATATTTTTTCTTGTATAATCAAACAACTGTCTTGGTATCATTTCATTATTTGTTCATCATAGGATTGCTGCACACTTGCTTTTGCTGCTAATCTCTTAATAGTGCCACCTAACACATTACATGGTCCTTTTCCCATGAGCTGTAGCAAAAAAGGGCCACTCTGCATCAATACCAAAGTCCACCTTATGGATACACAAATTGATAAAAATTTTATAGTGTGAAGAGAAATAGATCAGATTTTTTATTTTAAAATTAAGATTTTTTTTTTTTTCAGTACTTGTATAAGTTTTCTTTGGAACAAATGGATAGCTACTGTGTCATGCTTGAGACAGTCTGATATAATTACTGTATCAATATGCTCCAGCTCTTCTTTGTCATTTCTGTAATAACAGACAAATGAATGTAATTTAACTTGGAAGCCTTGTGCAACATCCTGCAAAATAAGTGAATAATGACTCGGTAAACTCAGCAAATTTTGAAAAACTGATTCTGTTGGGATTTTTTTATTTAAATAATTGGTATGCCTCTTTCAGGTTACAGACTACAAGATACTTTTGTTCCTGAACTCATCTACCATTCTTTAAAACTGTCTTATAGTCATTTTTTTCCAGGAATCACCATGCTGACTTCTTCACACTTATAAAACAGCACTTCATCAATTTTCTCTTGTGGGAATCTATATTTTCATATATTTGGTAGAGTTGATATTCCATGTTCATTAACAAGTTTTTTGACTTGTCTTGTCATGTATGTTGTATTTCCAAATTCCATTTGAATTCTTTGGATACTCCAGCGTTTTGGAAGTATTGTCAAAATTCTTATTTTTTGAGACCTTTTCTTTTAATTGTGTAATAATTTCACTTTCATCAGATCTTTTGTGTTCTACACTGGTAGATTCTTGATGAGAAATTATAATAGTTTAATTTTCTTTGACACTGCTTCTTTAATTTTTCCTACTTTTTATTCCATATAACTTGTTTGTTTTTTAAGTTTTTGATGCTTTATTGGCAATTCACCAAACATTGAAAGTAACTCATTAAAATGTTGCAATTCATTTTCACTATCTACAAAAATGCTAGAAGGCTGTAACTGGTTTCAGCTGATGTTTAAGTACATTCAGAAAGCTAAAGATATCCAATTTAACCATATTGGGAAATATGAAAATGTTAGTGGCAAATACCAAAATCCAGCATTTTGAATTTGGCCCAACTCAGTAAAGCCCTTGTAACTCAGACCATAGTGAAAAGTCCACTACAAAATTTTATACATATCTTGCCATAAAGCAGACAAATTTGTTGTCAAATTAAAAAAAAAAATTAATGATACAATTTTTG